GAACATTCATCCTCACTCCCAACCGAGTAGGCAAGGAGCATTCTACTTGTCCCCTGAATTATGGAGAGGACATGGTACAACTGTGCTCAACCAAGGACCCAGAACATTCAGAATTATAAGGAGACAGTGGACCTTCTTCCATGAACAATATACTAAACTGATATTGATCAAAAAGAAGATCCATGCACACCCTAACCCCATAGCAAAGCATCAAATCTGAACTGGTATTAAAAGTAGGCTGGTGCCACTCTTACTGACATATGGGAAAAAAACATCCAGGGACCCAAGCAGAAGAGCCTCCAACTTCTCCCTCTTCTCCAAGAGTGGAGGAATTCACTCTAATACTCTGGAGGAAAAGCCTCTGACCACCACCCGTGTGACTGAAAACTAGGTGTGGTAAGGACTCTCTAGCTCCACTAGTAGATTCTGGGGAGGGTAATGTGTGTTGGGGAGCCCTGAAAAACAGTGCTCTGGAAAGAGTGCAATAGGTGAACCAAGTTCCCTTAAATTTGTAAAAGCAAACCAATCCAGATTTATTTAATCCAATGATCAACAGGGACAGGCAGGATCCCCTTTTGCTTTACTCATGATAGTTCATGAGTGGCAGTCCAGCATAGTATGGTAATACAACCTGGTAAGGTCTTAGGAAGTCTTATGGAACACCTCATTTTTGCAGAGCTTGTTGCAACCAGTAGTAATTATAGTGAAATAGCGATTGGTAGCGCAAAATTGGGCAACACTCGTCATAGAGTAGGATCCTGTGAAAACAAGGTAAGAGACACTGAAAGGTAGAAATAAAAATACTCAACCCTCTGGATAATCTAGCAGAAATAGTTAAGATGGCTACAGAAGGTTGGCAAAAATCCTCAGATGAAGAGATGCTAGATCAGGCAAAAAATGTAAGATAAAGGTATTGGGGAGGTCCACATACCAGTCCCCACGGTGACCTCCAGTAGGCAATTCTATGCTAAGGGCATAGAAAAAAGAAATCTGATTAGATGTGACTCACAGAAGATACCTTGCCTTCAAAGAGAGCTCGAAATACAGGTATAAGTGCAGGCAACAAAAGCTTTAAGACCCTCACTGAACATGACCATGATCGAAATCTGATTGGAAGAGAAAGAGTGAGCAGATGAATTGGAGAAAAGGACTAAACAGTTTTCCTGTCTGATAGAGTGTTGGGTAAGAAGAACTGGTCTGAGGAAGTAGAGAGAATGAGAAAGTGACCTGCAGACAAACAGCGCAAATCACTCCAACCAGTGATGTCTGTAGGTCAGCAACCATGAAAAATAAACCTGCAGGTAAAGGGGATACATGGCATATAAGCATCAGGTCACAAACAGGTATAGAGAAAGAACACCTAACCTGAATCTACCTGTTAGGTAACAGGAATGGTCATGTGTAGTTGGTAAGGCCACCATAAACAATGGCGACTATGGAAGATGCAAAACTTCTGTCAAAGAGCAAAGACAAAAAAGAAATTATGGTTGACACTGCCAACTGAAAAGAGTTCAACCTCCTTGCAATACAACACTGCTGAAATGCATGTCATTATCTTTGAGAAAAGTGACTTTCCGACTAATGAGGAACTGAGCCAGATACACGTCAACCTTAGAAAGTAAACCCCAATGTCGTGTGAAAGACAGCATAATTTCTATGCAAGAAGCTTGAGCTTCTGGATAGCAAGGTGCACCATATCTGATCATGGCTGCCTCCACAGGGAGAACCTACAAAGAAGTGGAAGAGTTGGATAAACTGGAAGGGACTGCAGAAGCAGAAGCCCAGGTGTAGCTTCTAATCTGACAATGGATTGGAACAAATTATATTTCATACCCTAGGTAACATATGAAGTGGAGAAAAGGTTGAGAGTGGTATTCTCATCTTGTCCAGATGGAAAGCATTTATTGTCAAGACCCAAAGATGAGGTACTGGAGACCAAATTGCCAATAGTTGGGTGAACCAATGAGAGGCCAACCCACCAATTAAGAATTGCAAAATGAGAGGCAATCCAACTGAACCTTGCAATGCAACATTATTCTGTCAGGAGAATCTGTTTGGATTGAGATAATGGACCTGCTACCATAGGCATCATCTATGGAACATGGCAAGTTAAAAGGTTAAGACAAGACTAGTCCCGTGAAAGGAGGTCCAAAATTCGAAAATAAGGAGCCCTAGTCCACATGCCTCCTTGATGAGAAACATAAGAGACTATTGTGGAACAGTCAGAGTGAAGCCTAGCAATTTATGCCTTAAGAGGCCCAGACCATGAGACCTTGCATGCTGAAGAGCAAGAAGCATGAAAACATTGTGTGGGGAATCCTTCTTGTCCATGCATACTGTGGAATTCTTAATTGTTGGTATATGTACCCCATCCCTGAAGCAAGGCATTCATAAAGAGAATGGAACTCTGGATGAGGTGGCAGTATAGGAACTCAATGCGTGGTAGCATCTCGACTTAGCCCCTTGAGATCAAAGAATGATCCCAACTATGGAAACCAGGAAATAGATGTGTACAATCCCTGGTCACTTATAGACCAATAAAAGGATCACTTGTGTTCTCATCCCAAAGGCATGAAGGATTTGAGTGCTACCCACATTCCCAGAAAAGAGAGAACCATCTCTATAGTGGGAGAAGGAAAAGTGAGTAAGAGTGTGGCATCCTATTCTAAAGCATTGAGCAGGATGGGAGACAGCTGAGCCCAAATGAGAGATGAGATGAAAAATAAAAAACCTAGACTGATAACATATTAACTTGGAGCAAGAATAGATGTCAAGGTTCCAAAAGAGAAGCCTGCCTGGGTTGTATCTGAAAGTAGAAGCAGGGTGTGATGGTCTAACAATTGATGAGATGTTGCTAGTCATCCATGAAATGGTGTGTGCACAAAATAATGGAATGAAGGGGACGAGAGAACTCGTACGATACAGCAGAACTCATGTTAAGCCTATGCAAGACCAAAGGAAAAAACTCGGAACTGCAGTACTTGACCCTTGTGCACCACAAATGCTGATAGTGGTGGAACTCCACTACTATGGCAAAGTGCAGATAGGAGGCAACAACAACCAAGTTGGACATCTATTATCCCGGTAAAAAAATCAACACAGATTGAGAAATGATTAACTTGTGAACCTTGGAGTATCTAGACATTGATATAGACAAGGAAGACTGATGACTGGACACCAATCTCCTGTCTTCATAGACCCAGCAACTAACAGGAATAAAAACTCTGAAGAACTAGCCTGACTCTCTCACAATCCCCAGACCAACCAGACTCAGATAACTCTAGAACTAAGTTCCAAATCCCAATGAAGTGCAGGAGACAGGAACCCTACAAGTTGGGTGGATAAGAGTGGGAAAGATGCAAATTGAATGACCAATTATGACCTAAAGACCTGCAAAGCTTCTAGACTGATGAGTAAGATTACCACACATCCAGAAAATCTTGGAACAGAGCTCCCACAGCACATGAAGGTATACAATAATCACCAAAGCTGCTGGCGATCTAACTATGCAATGGAAACCTTGGATATAGATAAAATCTATTCTGAGTACCAAGTAACTGAGGAGCTGATGTCGGGGATTGGTATTCACTAATAGGGATGGAACTATGACCCCCCCTGTTGGAGCCAATGAAATTTGAGACTCCAACAATAACTGGAAGGAAATTAGAAGCTGAAAATTGAACCAACGTGCATGGTAACAAGGGATTCAGCTCATCCTCAATGAAACTGGTGATCCTGAGAGTCTTCTAAGAAAGAGGCGTGAAACGAAACAAAATGTAGAAGGTGAATTGTAAGTCCATAGACTCACTTTGTACAATCAGAGGACATAGACCTACATAGGTGAATTCTAATATCCACCGTAGAACCCCCAAAATTCAAGGAGGAGGAATTATTTGGTAGTCGGAAAAATGCCTCCACCTAATGGTGGTAGGCGAAATCAAAGTTCTGTCAATGTGTTGGTTAAAACCTAACTGTTCCTTCAAGTAACTAAGAAGTAAACCTTCCAACATGACCCACAATTTTCGTGCATGGAGAAAAATTCCGCTCCTAGCCCTTTCAGCCATCATGTAGGTTGCAGGCTCAAAAGCAACTGCTAAAAAGCCCCAAAACATCACACACTCGAAGAACCAACAGGAGAAAAATAAATCAAAAGCAGTGTATCCAAAAGTTGCCTCTTTTTCGTTTCTCATACATAATTTAAAGACTGTGGTCATTATCATTGACTGGAATAGCATCTTGTGAGGTAAAGTAAGTTATTTTGTTAGAGCAAAGCAACTGCGGACCATCTACTGCATTCACACTAGAGAACCATACCCTGAACCCCGACACTGTGAGTCCTTAAACTTACCACTGGCCCACAGGGGGCTGAAAATCCAACAGACTAACAGAATGCACTGGAAAAAGCAAATTTAAAGTCTCTCTAAAACGTCAAGTATCGCCCTCAAATGCAGCTTCTGAGCCCCAAGAAGGACCACCACAGATCTGAATATATGTCTCCATCTCACTAAGAGTAAGTGTTGTGTGATGCAAGATATAAGAAGTGGAGGAGGAGAGACCCAACTGGCCTCTGTACCAGAAATGATAATCCAGGAATTCATACCATAATTGGATTATCAATCAGAAGAAAAAAAATTATTATTATTTTTCCTTTTAATTAGTATTATTGTTACAAATCCAACTAGATAACACGATAACGTTCAAAGTATCTCCGAATGATCGTAATACTGGGAAACCCATTAGTGAAGCTTGGTTGAGAAAAAGTGATAAAATTATCTGAATGAGGTACTTGTATTCAGTACCAGGATAGAGGGTATATTGACATAGGTAGAAAATATCACGAGACAAATATAATCAAGGGCGTGTAAGGGTGTAAGGATTTACTAACCCCATAATAACTTCTAAGTAATATAATAAAGTTAGTGACTTTCTTCCAAACCTGCATTTGTGAAAATATTATGTGGTAATGAGTAAAATGTCACAACAGTGTATGTATATCTTACATTCCAAGCATCCTGAAGCATCTGGCAGTCTCATAAATCCATGACAACACTGCCTCTTCACGATGTAGGTCTTGTTCACATCCTTAGTTCTGATCCTGCATTTTATTTAATGAAAAATATACATTACCTTCTACAATAATAAAACTATTAAATAATGTTACATCATACTTTTAATTATCTTCATTTTGAAGTCTGCAACACCTACAGGTTGTTTTAATAAAACTGATGTTGAGAATTCTCAGAGAGATTATTCAGTTAATTTTATAAAACCTCTTTTTGAACTTTTACTCAAAGCAATATTTAAAACAAGAAACCCAAACTATCTTCTCCTTTAAACCAAAATATTTAGTAGCAATTAGCACTGCTACTGACCAGCTTTAGTATTTGTTTATTCTCCAATAATATTTGACCTTTAATAATGTAAATTTATAGGTTATCTTAACACTAATAGTTTAGAAATCATCTTTACAACAGAACAATGTTTACAATATATTTTCTCAATTCAAAGAAAATTACGAACATATCTTTCTCTTAATTATATGTAAAAACTAACTACTAAAACAAGTAAATGCCTAGAAATAAGAAACACACTAACTATCTCACTTAAAATCCTTTATTTCATCTTTATCAGTAGTTAAAAATTAATATTAATCCATTCTGCAAAGTTTCTATGATTCATAATTAGAGGACAATAGTTAGCAACTTCTCCACACAAACTAAGGTAATTTAAATTTTGTTATTTTCTCAGTTCAGCTTCAAATCTGAAACCTTTCAAACACCAGGAAAGTTACAGGGTTAATCCTTAACACTTCTTAGTAAGTCACTTTTAACTCAAACTACCACAAGAACAAAATGTTTGTTTTAAAGCGCTCACCTAAAATTACCAATGGATAATTTTACTTCCAGGGGTTTGAGAGGAAGAGACAATTATAGACAAGGGCACAAGTAGGTTCAGCATAAGGTACACGTAGACCCTGGTATTGTGGTGGTGGGGGGGGGGCCACTTTGGGGGGAACACAGAAATACTAAATTTAAGCAATGAAAATTATTTGCCAATCAAAAACCAGTTAATATACAAATATGAGATTTGTGCAAGAACAGGCAGTGCACACCTAGATATCCTATAATCAGTGGTTTAGATGGCCAAAATAAAATGCTTGTGCTAGTTCTGAATACAAGTAAACAGCTATTTTTATAACACACTCAAAACAAGTCCTCGTTTGATTTTTTCCTTTACAATAAATTTAGTTTGTACCAATGCTCATCATTATAAGAAATTATAGGTATTTATTTCACGATTAGTGTAAAATGTGACCACCAAGGTGTTGTGAGATACACATGAATGTCTATAATGAAGTGCTGCTGTACATTCTGGAGTACTACAATTTTTTTTTTTAAACAAACACAGCCCAAGGTAGGTTATAAATTATTTTAAATAGCATAAAACGATACTTAAATAAAAATAAGTTTTTCTGTGAAATACATTTGAAATCAAGTTCCACATGGAAGCAGAAAGTTGGCCACATACATAGAAAAGTAGTAAAGGCCCCACATGATAAACAGAAGTGTTACCAGGGGCACAGTGTTGCTAGGAGAAGGGTGACATCATATGATTGTCATCAACATCAGAAATTTTCACTTCTAAGTTTATTATCTGAGTGAGAAAGATATGTAGCTGATTGTATCCTACCTTCAAAGAATTTGAGAACAAAAAAATCTGTAAAATAAACAGTGATAAGAACGAAAAAGTTCTTGACAAAATAATTCAATTTTGATGCTTTTACTAATTCTTACTTACTTACAATTAAGAATGTTGTACTTTAAAAATTAAATATCCAACATTTTTGACATGAATTTAATCTGTTTTTACAGTTGACTTATAAATTTAATATTTGAGCAAGATAGTTGTTTTGCCAGTTGTATATGTTTAACATAACTACAAAAGTTTTTCACAAAATTCCATTTTAACCCTTTATTATTTTTCTTACATTAAAGATTTTGCAACCTGATCTACACGAGTCTACTGGTCCTGAATACATCAAGTAGAAAGATTAGAAGGAGCAGAGCCATAGATAACACAATTCATGACCAATCCTTGCCCCTATAATAGGAGACAAACTAAAGTTTGATTTGACACAACAAAAGTATGGAGATCATAAGTGTGGTACTATATAAATTACCTTGCAGAACTCATTCACGAGAAAAGGAGAGTGGCCATTAATGCTCTTATCAACTACAGGCTGGTAGTACTGTGATAATTTTTTTCCCTAACTACATTACCCACTTTCAAAACTTTACATCATAACAGGAATGATCACACACACAATGAGCAGGAGATTTCAATGATATACTTGAGGTCCATGGCAAAATCTCATACTTATTGTGTGCGAGATCATTCTCATCATGCTGTAAAGTTTCCACAAGTGGGTAAAGTAATTATAAAAGCATATGGCAACTTTACTAGCTCACAGTTGAAAACAGTATTAATGTATTACAAGAGTATTACAATCTCCATATTTTTGTTGGGTGTCAAATCAAACTTTACTTTCCTTTCTATTATAAAGGCAAGATTTGGTCATGGATAGTGTTACCTATGGCTCGCTTCTTGATAACATTTCTACCTAGTGCATCCAGGACCAGTAGACTCATGTAGATCAGATTATTTTTCTTAAAATGAAGATTTTGCAAAGTTAAAATGAAATATTTTGTCAAAGACTTTATAGTTATGCTAAACATATACAATCAGCAAAACTACTGTCTTATTCAAATATTTAAATTTAGAAGTTAATTGCAAATACAGATTAGATTCATGTCAAACATATAGGAGATTATTTTAAAAATACAAGTCTTAGTTATAAGTAGGTAAGAATTGGAAAAAGCATCAAAATTGAAATAATTTGTCCAGAACTTTATAGATATTGTTATTTTATAGATTGCTTGTTCTTAACTTCTTCAAAAGGCAAGATTCCACAAGTTAAATATCTTATTCACTCAAATAAGTTAAGAAGTAAGAATTATAATGTTGATGATGTAATCATATAATGTTACCCCTCTCCTAGCAACATGTTCTCTGGTGAGAGACAACTTTTGTTTCTCCAGGGGGGCCCTAACTACTCACATAGATTAATACCTAAAGTTTGAGCTTCTCACACCATAACTATGCAATTAATTTTAATATCAAACTTATAGAATAAAATAAGAAAATTTGCCCAATTACTGAATGTATATATCATCTTTAATCATGATACGCATGGTTGGGTGGACATGTTCAGTAGTAGACAATACAGTATTGAACTTACGATATTGTTGCGTCAGCGAGTCACATGACTACTGTGGCGCCCTCTAGTTTCTAGAACTATCTTGTTCTTTCATGAATGCTCTAGTACTTACTAGATAGGGTAGTCTGGTATATATAAGAGGGGGAAAACGTGATGCGGGAAGGTAATGTAATGTGTGTATGTAGGTAGTAATTGATCTGCAGTGAGAAAGTATTATTGAAGTTGAGCACGTTCGTTGTTATAGCGTTTGTTTTAGCGAGATTGTTGAAATTAAGTGTATCGTAAAGTTATATTCGGAAAGAATAAACCAGTTTAATTAAGTAAGGACTTGTGTCGCTAAAGTTTTGTCGGAACGAATTTACGGAAAATCAATTAGCAAACGGAGACGTAACAATATGCATTCATCAGCAAATAAAAACTAATGAACCTGTCATCTACATCTAGTTTTACAAACAAAACTAGCTGTGGAAAATACATTATATACAAAATATATATAGGTTTATATATTTATATTTTATAACTAACACTTACCTTGTAATGCAGATGTATGAAGTTTCAGTTTCTTTACATTTCGTAAAATGTTCATACTCCACTTTGACAGTTTCTGTGGTATTTCCTTTTGGTGCGTATGTGGTGACATTAACTTCCTGCTCATTAATTTCTTCTTTTTCTTCACAGATATTGGGTCTGAAAATGTATTTATGAAAATAAGCTTGTAAATTTACATTCATAGTTGGGTTTCATTAAAAATATTTTATATTAATACTAGATGTATGTCTGCAGGGTCCCCAAAAATGTTCTGTTTCAAGAGTAAATAAAACTATAATTAAGAGAAATATATATTTTCTCTTGCTTTTGAAGTTCATATTTCCTACCTGTTCTGTAGCCTACAGAGTGCATAATTCTTCTCACAATTCATGGCATGCACAGATTTTACTGATATCACTACAGTACGAATTGCAGCATTAAGCTTCCTTTATCTGACTGATTGACAAACAAAAACTACTGTATAGTGGGCATGAGTGGTTAAAACAGGTGACCCTCCAGAATAAAAGAAAATCCCTACTAAGTTGTCTAAGCTAATAATATTAGTTTAGAGCTCAGTAGGGACTTTTTCTGTTGTTGTTGTTTTGTTTTTTGCTGTGCTACTAATATTATCTTATTAATTTGAGCCTTTTCCAGCATAATGGGGTTGGAATGCCAATTTCAAGAAGAAAGGTTTTCTAACTCACTATCTCCAATGATAGGACTTTTCCTTATTTATTTTTCACTTCTCTTTTGAGAGTAGTGGCCTTTCCACAACTGTCTGCAGGCAGTGAAGGGTAATATAGATGCGAGAGATTGTGGGTTTGAGCACCAACAGCTTTCTTCTTTTTTTCTTCTTTATATGTAAGGCTTTGAAAAAGAGGTTAAGACTGATAAAAACGCATATCCTTACTACTACATGGTCATAGTTCCATAATTACCTCCAAGACAAATCTTATACCCCACATTACAACCTTAGTTGCAGTTTTGTTATGCAGCATTTTTTTAAGGCTTGTTTGTATTATAAATGTTATATTTCATCATAGATTTGGTCTTGCCATTTGTAACACATTCCATCCTTATTCATGTAAATATTAACTACAAAAAAAAATGTATTCATAGTAATACACAATAAATCATGAAAATGAGATTGTTACCAGTCTCAAAATTACAAAAATACTGAATAACTTACAGTACAGAATACAAAAAAATGATGAGACTGGAAACAATCTGATACACTCGACAGGTTAAAATGTTTTCCTGCATCTTCATTAGAAGTACAATGTTATGCAAAAACCCGACCTGATTATACAGCTACCATGAGTCACTCACTACAATTTACATATTTTCATACTAAAGAACTTCAAACCATTTGGTAATAACATTTCCATAAGGTTTATCATCCTTATTTAATATTTTAAGTTTTTCTTTCGTTTTATTATATCAATAGATTCACATGTATTCATATTGTTGCGTCAGCGA